CCTCAACTCACCACAGTGCCACCCAGAGCCACAACCTTCTCACCAGCAGTTAGTCTGACCCAGGTGACCACAGCTACCAGCACAACGATCCATCACACAACTTCCACAGTCCATCCAACAAGACTCTCCCCTACGGTGGCCAGAAGGACTACAGGGCCTCTTGACAGGAGGACTACAACTCCCAGCAAACCTGTGGAAACAGAGAAACCAGGTAAAGATCTCTTGGTTCACAGGATTTATTATGAATGAATGAATGAATGAATGAATGAATGAATGAATGAATGAATGAAGCGTTCTACTGTATCAGGAGTTAACTGGCAGTACGAATGTTTGCCTGGTAAGATGTGTAAATTACAGGCTTACCAACAGAGCTGCAGTGGTTAATCAATTAGCTGTCAGCTATGAAATTAATTGCCAATTATCTTAAGAATCATTAATTAGTTTGAGTTTTTTTGTTTTGTTTTGTTTTTTTAAATCAATGAAAAAGCCTAAATTCTCTGTTTCTAGCTTCCTAAATTTGAATATTTTCCTGTTTCTTATCTCCTCTGTGACAGTAAATTGAATATCTATGTGGACAAAAAAATGATTTTTAGCTTTTTGGTCTAATTGACATTTTTCACCATTGTCTGACATTTTAAATAGCAAACAACTATCAAATCATGAAAAATTTTGTTGAAGGAATAACTGAAAATGAACATAATCTTTAAATGCAGCCCTACTAGACATAATTTGGAAAACATTTTCGTATATTTCTAGGACAAGATATGATATATGCAAAATAAACCACCCTAAAATCATGACTTATATTACAGTATTTGTCAAAGTGATTTTTTGTTTGCGTATTGTTCAGCCCAAACCACGACAGGCCTGCTGTGAGAATTGTGTTGTGTGTGCCTGCCATCCACCCCGACCTCCTCTGCTCATTCTGATGTAGTGTTAAAAATGTGATGCTGTGTTCCTTTGTTTCCTGTGATCGTAATCCAGCCTGTGATTACACTGGAACCTAATTTAGTGGCATCATTTTATAATACTTAAACAACATTTTTCAGTACAAGGAAATCAGTTATGATATATACACCAAACATTGTACCGCAGCCTCATCCCTGAAATGTTTTGGATAACTATAATGTCATGTTACTACTAAATTCACTCACATCACAATATGTCATTTCTTGGAGAGAGTTGTGTGTATTACGCGCCCTCCATCCACCCTGAGCACCTCCTGCTGACTCAAATATAATTTAAAAATGCAATGCTCTGTTCATTGTGAACAAAATGTTGCCTTTTTAAGCTGTAACTCTAACCCCTAACCCTTATCTAGTCAGTGATCACACTGCTAACTATGCATTATCTAGTAATATTCTAACACCATTTCAAAAAGACGGGGCCATTGGTAGAAGATGAGATTGAAATTTTCCAAAAACAGTGACCCTGGCCTCACCACTGAGATGTTCTAGTTTGCTATGATGTTACGGCTTATTGAATTGTGACCCAAGTTGTTATATCGGTCAGTATCATTTTTTGTACCCATTGTTTGACCCGAATCGTGACAGGCCTAGTGTGTGAGCTGTGTGCTTTGTACGCCAACCATCAACCCTGACCACCTCCCGCCAACTTTGATGTGTGGCACTTAAAAACAAATGTTGCCTTCAATGGTAATCTAACCTGTGATTACACTGGAACTTAATTTAGTGGCACGATTTAGATAAATTTACACACACAGATGCAGTGTATGCCAAATAGTCCTCCGGTGTTCATCCTTGAGAAATTTTGAGAAGCTGCCTCCTTTTTCCATGTTAGGAATTTCAGTCATTCCTCACTCAGCCACAAGAGGTCGCTAGTTAAGAAAACATAAGCAGAGATCCATCTCTGCTTTTGTTCTCTCTTCAATGCAAAACACCTTATTGATATATTAGCTTTAGACTGATGATATAAATAAAAGAATCCCATCAAACAGAGGTTTTACCGAGCTGCTCAGCTCCACTCTGGCTGCCGACCTGCTGTCAGTAAGCAGCTGTAATCACATCAGCTCTATTCGCTGTCATTTCTGGACACACCAACGATTCAATTCCAGCCCAGGAAGAGGTGTGTTAAATGTGTGTGCGTGTTCCAGCGTATAAAGACGAGAGAGAGGAAGCCATGCAAGAGATAGTAACCATGGAAACGCAGGAGCAGCCCCCTTTATGTGGAAGCTTTGATGGGTTTTAAGCCGCAAAGGTTAAAAGCAAATTAAGGGCAAATATTCAGCGTTTATCTGTCGGCTACAGGGAAAAGAGTCCTGTGTCGGTTAATAAAAGAGCAACAGCCTGTGTGGTTCTCAAACAAAGACGTTCAAATTAATTATAAGGAATAATTTAATACAATACCTTGCTGAATATTTGTTGAAAAACAACGTGAATTTAGAAAATCCTTATAACCAGAACATCATCCGATTCGTTACAATCCGTTCAAACCTGATCCTCCAGTTTAAAAAAGGGCTCACATCAAAGTGTGGAATTAATATTTACGGAAAAAGACTAACGTGGCAGGTCAGGATGTGACCAAAAAAATCTGTTACAGGCACTCAACCGGGTGGTTGGTAATAAAAATGTGTGCTAATATACTTGCATGCTTTTTTTTTTATAAGATATTAACCTATTTTAATTAAAATTTTTACATTTTAAATCATCGATTTAAGGGCCTTTTCAATGCCTGACCCAGCCTATGTACTCTTTCTTTAGGATTATTAATATGTCATTCACTCCTCGTGCAGCTGAACTGATGGTATGAGGACTGTTTTTCTTAACTTATCCTTCTGAGTGGAAAAATGGTGACTCTACATTCTGTAGATATTTTACTTTTTGT